AAGTATATGCAACACTAGAAGCACTAGATACAAAACTTGGCATACAGTACAGTCTTCCACTCTGCTTTCCTTTCACTACATTACTAAATACTTTATCCCTGTGTAGATCCCGTAGTGTGTCTAGGACGCCCACCCACCACTAACAGCCTCGTTACTCGATGTTATTGTTGTTGTTTAAGATTCAGCTATTGGGAATAAAACGTTCTAAGTAGCACAGGCTATGGTGAGCCCGTAGTGGACTTATCTGGCACAGGAGTGAGGCTGTGGTGGCACAGGCATGAATAGCCCATAAGTAGTAGGTTTCGTGCTCATCACGTGCTAAACATAATCCACCAGAATCATTATAAATTGTCTTCAGTCATATGAACTTTATTCATATCCCTAAATTATATGCCGAACAAAATATACAAATATATAGTATATATATTTTATTATATATATATATATATATATATATATATATATATATATATATATATATATATATATATATATATATATATATATATATATATATATTTTGCATACTATTGAGCCGAAAATGCGGATAAGATATGTCGAGTGTTTTGTAGTCAATATCTTATGATAGCCTACATTTTTTACAGGTACAGAAAAAAAACTATTGCATGAAATATTTATGTATAATCACGTACGAAAAGATTACATTTGATAGAGCTTTGATAAGTTATGAAAATATCTTTACTACAAATAATTATACAAAAAAACTTGCTACAATTACACATAATATATTTTGTATAATATTTATGAAATGTGCTTCTCGTGAGTTAAACGCACAAAAGTTACAAGAATATTGTAACGCAATATTATTGACTTGATACAATAATAACGCACCTTCACCACATTCCAAGAAATTGTATTGCAATTAAATGTTCCCAATAACCCCACATGCACTAATTACATCAATATATGTTTCTAAGAAATTCCACGTACAACTACATCATGCCCCAACCTCACTTACCATGGGAACTTTGTTTTCATGTGTTTCACGAACTACTAAATAACATCCTCCAGGAGCCAAGCAGTTTCCCATCAACCAAATTACGACCCGCAAACAGGGACAGGTGGACAGGAATATATTATATATTGTTATTATGAATTAAATGCCCGTCAAAATACAGCAGCACGGGTTTAGGCCAGCTTCCTGCCCGAAACGCTTTGCGTAATGGTGGCTTTAGGCATTGTATGTACTAGCTCTATCTATAAATTCATCAATGTTTGTATCTCACCTTGTATGTATGTACTTTACCCGAATAAACATTTGATTTGATTTGCTTAAGATACCAGCAACTCGGGCAGTTACGTCACGTCATATGTTTGGTAATTACCAAATTAAGTAAGTTACAGGATGAGAGCTACGTTGTATCCTGAGCAGGGTTAGTTTTCTCCCTTGATGACCTCGAAACAAGCCTAACGCGTATGAATACACTCTGGCTTTCTGTCCCCCGAGACAATGAATTATACGCAGACGAATTATAATTATTATAACGAAGTCTATAACCCGTACTAAGTGTTCCCTAACCTTAGCACCGCAACATGGCGTGTTCACAATTAACAGCTGCCTAACCAGCTTAGTCAAAAGGACAATTTCAGGAGCTCTAAAGATACTCAGGATAAATTTGTATGCACATAAAGTCTAACATACGTCGTAAAATATAACATATACATGGTACTGGGTCACCAGACCAGCGATGGTTACCTTGCCCTAGTTCCGGGAGTCAAGATCCCCGCGGCCCGGTCTCTGACGAAGCCCATGAGGATATTTACAGAAAAGAGCCGCGCCGGCTTGAGCCAAGACCTTCCCCAGTCTCACCTTAGACCCCACGAATGTGAGACAATTGTGTAAACAACATTACAAAGTACTTACACAGATATTAGGTCTATCTCATACGCTGGATCCACTCATCGACGTTGAATGGGGTCCAATATATAATAATCCTGCTCCTCCGCTGGGGATACCGCCCTCTTCACCATGGGAGGCGATTAACGAGGGAGCCAAGCTGAATTGTCCAGAGTTCGGTACTTCGGGACTGTCCAACTACGTGACTACAGAACAAGAGAGTCCACGTCTCACATAGCCAAGCCCAACTAGAGAATGAATGCTGGTGAGGGCAGATGAACCACGAAACCTCGATATAGGCCACCAGTTTATTTATTTATTTACAAGAGAGAACATTGGGCTGTGAGAGTACATAATATCAGTGTTCTTACATTCTTGTAAACCCATTAACACTCATAGCGTTTTGGGCAGACCTGATTGCAGACCAATCAGAATGCAGCTACAAGAACAGGCTAATATTAATTAGCATATAGAGAGGTATGGGATCAACAGCCTACACTGGCAAGCTTTGGATAAATTATATGATGATATCCTCAACAGTGAATAAAAAAAGTAACTGCATAACTCCAAGGTATCTAATACCAGTTCGGTATAAAACCTTATCATAAGCTTCAGGATTTGTAAATCAGTGTTTAGCGGGAATTCGGAATTAATAATAATACAGCTGATGCCATCTGTCGGCAGAAAAGAACACTATCAATCAATAGTAGCCATAAGATACAGCTTATGCCATCTGTTGACATCAAATTACACTATTAACACGCCACCACACAAAATACAACTAACGCCATCTAGTGCGTCGCCCATGCACTAACAATAGCCGAACAGCAACCCATAAGGCGGCGGGTTGTTGTGCTGAAGCAACAATTCCTGCGCTTGCATATTATTGGTAGATATTCTTTGTTGACATTCACCACAACAGCCAATCACAGGAAGGTATTTGCTAAAGCTCCGCCTCCTAATTGACGTCATCAGGAGCGTTCCGCCCACCAGTCTAGCTTATGGCTTTCTGTTTCATCTCGAAATTCTTCCATTAAATGAGCTCATAATGGATGGGAAGAGGCTGTTGCGATTGTTGTATGTTATACCATTTTTAGAAATATCTTCTGATATAGGCGTTGACTCCTCTATTCGTATACAGGTTGTTTATAAATACTTAAAGCAGCAGCCCAGCAACTTAATTTAAGTCCATGGAGAACATTACATCCAGAGAGCATATAAAACCGCAGCCTTCGTCCTCATCCCGACTGATAAATATGTCACTAAACTAAAAGAAATCCTCTAAGATGAGATCAAATTCAAGAGGATTACTAGAAATCCAACTGATAATATCAAGAAGAAGGTCACCCGTATAACTGATGCAGTTAATGCTAAAAAAAAAAGGCAGCATCCATCTGCAAAAGGTCTAAAGTGACTACAAGCTAGGATACATTGATGGTAAAAAAGGCTTGCTTACCCACAAGCCTAGTAATCCTCTACGACCCAAATCATCAGCCAGATCCCCATACCCACGTTAATCTAACTAAATAACTAACACTATACTGACTCCATATGTACAACATAACTACAGCTTGCCGATTTCTTACACAAAAGTGAAGACTAATAAACCGGAAGGAATCATAGTATCTCTAGATGCAAATGGGGGAACCTTTGACAAGCCGCCTGCTTCCTGTCTTAGTCGAAGCCACTAGTATTAGTGCCCCACAGGTAAATTCAGGTAAATATATGCCTGTCATCCATCTTCTGAACCAAGTGAACAGATACAACAAATACAAATATTTGTTCAGGTAAAGTACATACATACAAGGTGTTATACAAAAGTTGATGGAGTTATAGATAGAGCTAGTACATACAATGCCTAAAGCCACTATTACGCAGATATGACCTGGTAAAGCCCACAGGTACGAGTCATTATAATGGGCAGTAGACAGTAAGGCCCACAGGTACAAGTCATTATAATGGGCAGTAGGCCTGGTAAAGCCCACAGGCACGGATTCCACCATACTGAAAAATATATGCCAAGTAAAAGCCCAGTACGTGGTCTCTCTTGGCCCATCTCATAGCCGTAGACCTGGTACAGTCCACAAACTAGTAACATTATAATGAAGCAGTAAGCGTGTTAATTAAAGCCCAGAGCTTCGTAACTTATCTTAAGGTGCCATAGACCCTGGTAAACCCGAAAAACCCAGAGCCTCGTGACCCATCATGATGGGCACTAGGCCTGGTAAAACCCAGAGCCTCGTGACCCATCGCGATGGGCACTAGGCCTGGTAAAACCCAGAGCCTCGTGACCCATCGTGATGGGCACTAGGCCTGGTAAACCCTAGAGCCTCGTGACCCATCGCGATGGGCACTAGCCTTGGTAAAACCCAGAGCCTCGTGACCCATCGTGATGGGCACTAGGCCTGGTAAACCCCAGAGCCTCGTGACCCATCGCGATGGGCACTAGGCCTGGTAAACCCCAGAGCCTCGTGACCCATCGCGATGGGCACTAGGCCTGGTAAACCCCAGAGCCTCGTGACCCATCGTGATGGGCACTAGGCCTGGTAAAACCTTAGCCTCGTGACCCATCGCGATGGGCACTAGGCTTGGTAAAACCCAGAGCCTCGTGACCCATCGTGATGGGCACTAGGCCTGGTAAACCCCAGAGCCTCGTGACCCATCGCGATGGGCACTAGGCTTGGTAAAACCCAGAGCCTCGTGACTCATCGTGATGGGCACTAGGCCTGGTAAACCCCAGTGCCTCGTGACCCATCGTGATGGGCACTAGGCCTGGTAAAACCCAGAGCCTCGTAAACCCATCATGATGGGCACTAGGCCTGGTAAAACCCAGAGCCTCGTAAACCCATCATGATGGGCACTAGGCCTGGTAAAACCCAGTGCCTCGTGACTCATCGTGATGAGCCTGACAAGCCTCAGAGTGCCTCGATTGGGGGCCCTCTGATTCACGTTCCAATAATTATTTTATTAAAAACTGGCCCCCAAAAATTCTCAGACTCGCACCCTGTAACATTACCATGTAATTTACCGGATGGTAATTGCCAAAGGCTTTTTTTGATGTGATTGGCCCGCCTCGGCCGTTTTTAAATTCTACAGGCAATATAGTAATTTTTGAGAAGAGTTTGCGGGTGTGGAGGCGACGACGAGTCATGTGGTGTTTATGTTACCAGATCTCTCTGAGTGAGGGTCAGGAGGCATCAGTGGTGCAAAATGCCTGTTAAAACAGAGATGGCCTCGTTGGACCCGCCGCCTCCAGCCAATTCTGGCCAGCCGGGGGTGACGCGTAGCCTGCTGTACAATGGTTCCAGGTTCCAGGGCCATCAGAAGTCTAAAGGCCAGTCATACGACGTGGAGGTGGTCCTTCAGGTGCGCTCACACGCCTTCATTCATGCACTTCTAACTCCACATTACACACACACACACACCCTGAAGGAGGCGAGGCTGGGGGGGTGTCCGGGGGTTTTCCAGGGGCTTGGTGGCGGCTGGAGTGAGAGAGAGAGAGATGGGGAGGGGTTCGTGGGAGGGGGGAAAGGCTGGTCGTAGCAAGGAAAGCGATAGTCACTTTCTAATGTTGGTCAGTGAAAGTTTGTTGTGTGGGGGGTTTGGCCTTGTGCTCGTCGTATTTATGGTATATTTGTGATTTTGATGGCCTTTTTAATTCGGAGAAGCCCTTCTTTTAATCTATAAATTGCTCCCTTTTTTGTGATGAGCACTTGGTATACATATATCCAGTAAATTAGTAAAGCAAGCCATTGTTTGTTATGGGAACTTAACATTTCTTATTGTGTCGAGTTGATCCGAGAATATGGATAGTTTGTGGGTTGTCCTCGACTCTTGTCTATAATCTTTGAGTTGGCGAGCATATGGCTGGAAGAAGCTGCAGTAGTTGCTATTTTTTTGTTTTTTATGTCTTTTATAGTGTTGACGTAGGGGCCTCGATACATTATATAGATCTGCTTCGTGAATACTGTACTTTATGCACGTACATGAATCGGTATGGTAATGATCAGAAGAAGGTACAAAGCCAGTTTCACTAGCACTTGGAAGGGATATAAGGACCAGGAGGTAGGTCACGAGTGAATTGAGCAGTGCCCGACCATTTTGAATGTCAGGACTCAAACAGTGAGCTTGCAAGAAGCGGATCATTTGCTCTGTTGACAAGTCAAAGTTGATGGGAATATGTAAAGAGCCTCTGATATTAAACGAAGCAAATATCCAGCTGGGGAGATTTATTACCTTTAGAAGATTTGAGTTTAGACAAGGTCATTGTGACATGGTAGTACAGTACAGTCGGGTTCATTCTTGGCTCGCCATAAAGAATTCCAGGTTTGAATCTTGGGCGGGACAACAAATGTTTGGGCTCATTTCTTATCACCTAATGTGCCTGTTCACCTAGCAGCAAATAGGTGCCCCAGGATCCAGGCAGCTTGTTATGGGGTTTCATCCTGGGCTGGGTCAGCAATTCGGCCTGAAGATCAGGAGGGGGGGGGGGGCGCTTTGATGAAAGCCAAACGTGTATGAATACATTCTGGCTTCCTGTCCCGCAACACAATGACTTATTAATAATTATTTTAACTTTTGTACATGTATCTATTTAAATTTACAGTATTGTATTGAAATGTGACAACCTAATCTAAAAATGACACGACCTAATCTAAAAATGGCATCTATTGAGAAAAGAAAGCCATTTAGTGTGCCTCGGATATCAACATCTCTGTATTAAATTAGTCACTGCCTTAAAATTGTTGCATGTACGGTAACTTTTAAGTAACTTTTTTTTTATTGGGTAAAGTTTGGGTAGGCTATTTTAGCGTAGATTTGATACACGGGAAGTTACTTATGCTGTATAATACACTGGGTAGTAGCAGGTCTGCTAATTGCTTTTCCAAATCTGCACTCGCCAACTTGTCACATTTTATAATTGTATGTACACAAAATGTCAAAATGTGCGATGAATATTTAATATTTATTAATAAAGACATTGAGAAGCTATACATAACTTGGCATGATCATTTAATTAGGTAGATTTGGTGCATATTTTGACCATCCTTTTTGTTTATTACAATTGTGACGGGTTGTGGTATCGCAGCTATACTGAACCAAGATGGTATGGCTCTCCCTCACACACACAAAAATCTATGCTGCTATTGCTATTGCTACGGCTGCTATTGGCCTTGCAGTGTGTAAGTCGCAGGTGGAAACAAATTAAAATCATCAAATAAATAATTAAAACAATTTACTGAAATATTAATGAACAAAAATGACATGACAATACTTGGCTATTATTATATAGCATATCAAATAATTAAATGAAAGTTTAACTCTAATACAAAGCAAAAAGATATACTGGTATACTGAAGACAGCTACCATACCACCACGGCATCAGACACACGGCGTTGGCTGAAGTCGGACGACGGGTGAGAGAGACCAAGGTGATCCAAGAGCACTAAGAGAGAGACTGGCTCTCCAGGTTGTTGTTGTTGTTAAAGATTCGCTACCTGGAACAAAGTTCCAAGTAGCACGGGCTATGGTGAGCCCATAGTAGGCTCTCCAGGGAGGCGGCGCCCTTTATATAGTCCGGCGGTGATGGCTCATCTGGTGTCAATGCAAGGTGGACATTTGGTCAACTAGCAAACTGGTCGTTTGTGGCTGGCGGTGCCTTTGTGTTGAGCTGCACCACTGCTAGCTGAAGGCGGCTAACTGCTTGTTTGTGGGGGGCAAACTACCGGTTAGTAGAGGCACCCGGCTTGCCTCTGAGTCGTGCCAGGCCATGCCAGGCCCTAGGGGGGTACGGAAAGGTGGCAGGACTGATGACTCATCTGGGCTGGTGTAGTGATAGACTTCCAGTACAGAGGCATTGAAGGTGAAGGGAAAAGGCAGTTCCACTGCTATGCAGGGGATTCATGTGACACAATCAATCATTATACAGTATAATAAATACGTGAGAAGTTGATTAGCATGTGAAAAGCTGACAAGTTGTTTATATTGGAACTGGTGAATTGAGTATTCCTTGCGCCTGGTAATCAGAATTACATAGGGCCAACCCTATTCAAGTTAGCGGAACATTTGAGTTTGCCAAATTTCTTGTCAAGATTGTCCAAAAATGAACCCATTCAAATTTATCCGGATTTTCATTCGGCATAAATCTCTGTAATCCAAATACATATTCAGATTGAGGTAAAAAAAAAAAGAGTAAAAAAATAGAATGTGAATTAATTAGGGTTAATCAGAGATTTGGGTCACCGGCATCTGAATTATCACGCTCTTACAGTACAGTATAACCCCACATGGACAGTGCAAAAGCTTGTTACACAACACTGGATGTAGCTCTGCTAAGTTAAAAAAAAAATGCTCGAAAAATCTAAGGGACACTCCAACAAGTTTAATTTTATAATTGTATGCATGAAGGGGGGGGGGAGGTTACAAGGGGGACCTGAGAGAGTGTTCATATAGACAAATGTTTGTAAAGCAGGGAGGGCCTATATACTACTTTACATATGATAAAAAAAATTATGAGTTGGCATAAACCAGACCTTAATTACATTTTGTTTACAGCATGTGGATGAAGCTAATTCATACCTGTGCGGATATCTCAAAATTAAAGGCCTAACTGAAGAATACCCAACTTTAACTACTTTCTTCGATGGTGAAATTATTAGTGAAAAATTTCCGTTCCTTACTCGAAAATGGGATGCAGATGAAGAAGTCGACAAGAAACATTGGGTATGTTACATGTTATGTTAATTTTCATGTTTTTATGTAGACGAGTAAAATATGGTAAATATTGTACTGTAGTAGATATTTTTGAAAAGTTTATAATGTTTGTGCTAGGTAACAATTTCATCCGCAGTAAACTGTTCAAAAATCCTAGGGAATAAAAACCAGCCTAAAAAATGAATACAATAATATTCAAAGTTTGTATAACATTCAAAGTTTTCTTCCTTAAAACTTAATTTTTAACCTGCAAGAGAGATTATATAATGCAGGACCTTTCAAACATTTGGTTGCAGTTCCTCAATGGATTTTACTGGTTATATTGACTGCTCGCTGATTTGGACCTCATGAATTAAAATCTTGTGTAAGTTGGCTAAAATTGCATCCGAGTTTCACCATTTCTTGATTTGGAGAAAATCTGAATTAAGGAGCTTAGATTGGACTGCTTATATACATGCAGCAGCCTATGTTTACAATTATACAAATATATTACAACATTACAGTTTTGCAATATTTGATTAAATTTATACAAATTTTATCATACAAGTATTGCAGCAAACGATTATCAATTGTTAGAAATACATATATTTTACCCGCTAAAATAACTGGATCTGTCATGAGCCTGTGAGGTAGCCAAGTTTTTCCTGCCTTTGCATATCTTACAATAAGGTGAAACTCGGTATTGGAAGTTTTTTTTTTTTTTATGGAAGAGATTGATCAGAATATTAATGATGGCATGGGGGAAAGTAAGGAGGTGGAAGTTACACCACAAGTGGCAAAATGCAATTCCTGTATTGCAAGCATTATTATTTGAATCATTTTGCTTCCAAGAGTGAAAATCCAGATTTTGCAACTTCATGTCAATCCTATAGGTGGAACTAAGAATGATCATCAAGGAGGCCAATGAAAAAATTACAAGTCAAAAATACACATGTTTGGTAAGATCTGAATTCTAAAGACCTTCAACCAACAGAGTCTTGGCGAAGCTCCAAGGTTCTGTCGGGAAGTCAGAACGGAGATGTCGTGCACTCTTGCAACACTGTTCTTTTCGGTTAGATTAAGCGGTTAATAGGCACATTATATTTTCATGTGATACGTGAAAATAAATGCAATAATATTCAAGGTCCTTTGCTGGTCTCTTGGACAGGCTCTTCTCTGAATTTGGTCAAGAAAGCTGCTTAGTCTTTGGCTTGTTTTCCCTTCAATTCATCTTGGTTGAAGTAACCAAGTCTAATGGCCACCTGTAGTACCTTCCTCACAGTTTGAGTATGATTGTTCCTCATTTCCACTTCAAATCCAGTCCAGTGTTTCTGCCATGATGGATGATGCACTAACTCTTTCTAAGTTTCATCGGTTCCACCTCCCTGCTGTTCAGGCTAGGCAGAACTAGAATTTTTTTTTTTTTTTTTTTTTTTTTTTTTTTTTTTTTGTCAAGTTGTGGGAGTGAATTGTCCTTTTCTGCTACAACTCGCTCTTGCTTCTACAGCTGAGGCATTGCCCAAGTTATTCACACTAACTTTTTATAACTTAGGCAATTAGTTTTCTTCAAGCAGTCACTTGTTTTATTTCATCTATCCTTTCTGGTGGGTTTTCTTCAGATTTGTGTCAACTTCTCATCCCCACGGTCTCCTCGCTTTGTATAGAGTGCCAGATTCTGGTCGTTTCTTCTGGTAGACAAGGGTGGATCTTAGAGGCCTGGTGCATATCCCAAGACTTGGCCCTTTCACATATTGCTTGGGGGAGCTACTTGTTGTCCTACCAGAAAAGTGTTTTTCATTATATTCAATACTTATTCTGTTACGTCGAGTTGATCCTTCTGTGTACAAGTCTTGGGGAGCAACAGGTTAGAAGTGAAGTAGCTCGGAAAATAGGCTTCAAGTTTACTGTGCGTGTACAGTACTGCATGGTTGTTAGAAGCCCCTTTCAGAGTCACTCGGCGGCTCTTGTCCACGTCATTTGTTGTTTGTCCCTCCTGTCTGCTTAGTGTCTGTTCAGTTCTGTGAGCTAGCTTACTGGAAGCAAATTTTATTGTTTGATGAGTGTTTACTCATTTGATGAGTGTGCTAAGCCAGTATGGCTACAAGTATGTACCTGGAATGGATCTCTTAAAATTCACTCTGGAAAATTGAGTGAGGCTAAAAGCTTGAGGCTAGCCTGTTGTGTATCTTACACTTCCACCTGTTATTGGGGCAAGGTAGGCCTGGAGGGTCAACGTAGTTTGTGATTTGTGCCATCTATGTCACTGAAGCTAGATAGGTTTCTTAAGTGCTTCCCAACTCAATAATTGCTCTACATGGGCCAGCTGAAAAAGTTCGCTGTGATATCAATCCCAAAATGTTGCCACGACAAACACTGCAGAAACTTGCCTTGGGCAACAGCCGAGAGACGCTAGTCTGAAAATTGCTCTTAACTAAACTTGCAGCATATTTTTTGTGCCTTACTGCAATAAGGCTATAAATGTCTTATCAAACTTAATTATACTTGATTAAAAACTACCTTTCCTCAGTTTGTTATATGTAGAATATAACTTAGAAATACAGTAGTTGGTATTGGAGTAAGCAACATCTGAACAGCACTGTACTGTATTTTTTTTTTTTTAGCATTACAGTATCTAAAAATGTTTAATTATTTTTGCTATATTATTAGCAACCTAAACAAGTTGCTTTGTTTAGTGCAGCAGGTTTTGTGAAGAATTATCATGTGCGATATATTTATTTTATGATTAATTTTTAATTTTTTTTGCAGGGAAAATTTCCACCCTTCTATCAGTATACGAAAACCTTCAATTCCGATACATTTGACTACAGCGTTTTGAAGGACTCTGAACATGTATTTATGCGATGGAAGGAACATTTTCTAGTTCCCGACCATACCGTTAAGGACATAAATGGAGCTTCTTTTGCGGGATTCTATTATATCTGCTTCCAGAAAAGTGCAGCAACGATTGACGGATATTATTACCACAGAACTTCAGAGTGGTAAGTAACCTTTCCTACTGAAGTGGCTCAGTGTGCAGAATGTATTTTTTTAAGTATGAAAGCTGTTATCACTATGAAGCTCATGTAGTATGGTGAACCAGAAATTCACGTACCATTGGTCCTAAGTTCTAACCCTTTATTAATAAATATAACGATAACTTGTAATCATTACACAGTACTGTATTTATGCTATTATTGTGGCTTTCGACTTTCTCTTGGGTAACTAATGTACTATAGTGTAAACTAACTTACAGGCACACAAATGTGTGTGCCTTCATCGTATATTTCACAAAATTTGGCATGCATCTTGTTTACTTCCTTGCCTAGCAACAAGCCTGTCAAATTAAATTCTATAGAGAATTTTCAAAGTTCCCCATAGTGTCCTCTCTTGAAATCAAGTTTATCAACTGTTCAATGTCCTCATTCCCTTCTAGATTATATGGCAAAGCATATTTAATTTCCAACTAGACATGATCACTCTCTCCCAAGGGAAGAAGGTACTGGATGTCAAATCTCTCTTTCTTTGGTAAATATTAAATCAAGTATTGGCGGAACATCCCCTTCCTTCATTCTTGTGGTCAGCTTTATGTGTTGATACATGAATGTCTCCAGAATGAGGTTTCTAAATCTGCCTTTCCAAATGTCCTCTGTTCTTGCTTCGTAGGTCTTCCAGTCTGTTGCTTTAAAGCTTAAGTCCCCCAGTACCAACAATCTTGATTTATCTTTATCTGCTTTTACTATAGTATCTCTCATGACCATGATGAGGCCCTTTCTTTTATCATCTAATTCCTCCTTTGTGTATGTGTTGCTTGTTGGTGGGCTGTAGACATTTATGATATCAGTTTATCATCCTGATTCCAAACCTGCAATGCCAGTATGTCAACTTCTCAAGGTTTTTCGATTATTAACTCTTACCTTCAGGTATTCTTTCACCAGCACAGCACACTGTATGTGCATGTGTGTGTTTGTGTTTTGCTGAAACAAAAATTACTATAAGCGCTGAACTACTTCGTTCACATTTATTAAGTTCTTGCAGTCAATTCCTAGAGTTTGGCTGTGTTCAGTGGATTGCACCAATAGCTACTGTGTAGGTTCTCCATGCAGTCTCAAGAGCAAATGTGACAGAACTGGAATGTTGAAGAGATAGAAATGCAGTAGGTATCAATAGCTAGGAGGAAGGTCCAAAAGTGCTGGATCTCACTCTTACTAGACACTGATAAATATACCTTCCTCTTGATGATGTATTTCAAATTGACAAACTAGGCTGTTCTTTTGTTCAGAGCGTCTTCTCTAAAGCTCTGCTTCGGTGAACGCCCCGTTTGTTGACCTGGTTTCCTTGGTTCCCTCTTTCAAGGTACGTTTGTCCCAGATTGTCTGTAGTATCATTAGATCTAGCCAGCTTGCGATTTATCCTTGGGCCCACGATGTTTGGATGTTCACAGCTCTGGTTGCTGAGTTTGCTAACCTGTTATGATTGCCATTTGGGCTTAGGTTTTGGAGGTCTAACAGGGTCCTGGTGGCTCATTATCTGGTCAATGATCCTGGGGCCAGATTCACGAAGCAGTTAAGCAAGTACTTACGAACGTGTACATCTTTCCTCAATTTTTGTTAGCTTTGGTTACATTTATTAAGCAGTTTACAAGCATGAAAACATCCCAATCAACTGTTGTTATTGTTATAAACAGTCTCCTGGTGCTTCGCAGCTCATTAACTGTTTAATAATTGTAAACAAAGCTGCCAAAGATTGAGAAAAGATGTACAGGTTTGCAAGTGCTTGCGTAACTGCTTCGTGAAGCGGTTACGAAGTAGTTAAAAAAGCAGTAAAAAAACAGTTAAGCAGTTAAAAAAATCTGGCCCCTGGTCCCATTCAGGCTTGCGTTACGCTATGTTGTTCTATGACTGATGTGGCTCAGTAGAGGGACACTATCTTAACGAGGCAGCTTCATGAAGCCACTGAGGCGTTGCCAGAAAGAGGCATTTCGTTACATTTAATACTGGGGTTTTGATTTAAGTGTAAAGTACGTACTCATTTTATTTGGTAGGCATTTTTAATGTGACAGAGTTGGAGTACCTTGTGCAGTTCTTGAATCAGTGTAGTGGTGGTGGTTCCATTCACTCATTATAACCTTTTATCAGTCTCTTTAAATGTTTTTCTATGATATAATCTTATTTTCATTAATCAGTGTTCAATTAATAAGTTTTATATATTTCTTTCGTTTAAAATTTTAGAAGTGTTTGATATCAATTCTTGTAAGTACAGTACTGTACATATATATATATATATTTTGAATACTTTAGTTTGCAACATTTCTTGGTGCCTCTAAATGATGCTCATTTTTGGAAGCCACTGACAGAATGTGCTTTACTGTTACACTGCTCCTTTGGAATACTATTTAATTGATTCCTTACTCCTTGCAGGTACCAGTCCCTGAACCTGACGCACGTACCCGAGCATAGTGTCCAAATTTATGAGTTTAGATAAAGGGGCTTAACTGGGTATTGCTACTCTCAAGGCTTAGTGTGCATATGTGATTTATATTTTATTCGTTCCTTCTTAAAGTTTTATTGGAATGTTGCTAAATCATTTTATTAAGAGCTAGACAGCTCTTGTATGTATAACTCAGCCCATGTTGTGTCATTAGCAAAGAAAAATAGTACCTGCATTTGTTTTTAATACAAGAAAGTCCGTATTTTGAGATTATTTTTGTGTGCTCTGCAAAAGCTAAATATATTTTTTTTGGTATGCCTGGTATATAATTTTTCACATTGTCAATATAACAGATTTTCATTGTATATTTTATTAGCTGATAGTATCTTTTTAACTTTTTTTTGTATTATTATTATCAGGGATTAGTGTTAGAAACAAATGCTCATTACGGAGCCGTTTTTCTTTATAATGACCGGCATTTCTTTAGTACTGTTTATGCCATTATAAATATATAAATATATATAAATATATATATATTTTCATTACTTCAATTGTAAGGTTGATTAGAGGTAGACATCTCTAACAGCCCGACTACTTGTCATGGGGCTATGATGATACGAACTGTTGAGAAGAGCCATTGGGATAATGTTAAATCTTGCTAGTACAGTACAGCATTAATATCTTTTTTTAGTCCACTTGCATAAAGACTTCAATTGCAATTTTGTAAAACTGTTAATTTGGCAAGAATTAAATATTATTTATTGTTAATTTGAAATTGGGCGTAATGATTAGCCAAGCTCACTTTAGGGCACGTAGGGCAATAAAATTTGTTCCAATTGAATTTTAGCAACAGTGTAGGATGGGATGTAAGGCTCACAGTTTGTGGCTATGGACAAAGTTTTTTGTCAAGAGCCCTTTTAGGCATTTAAAGGGCATTTGAGCCCTTTAGCCCTTTAGGCACCCATAGTCATTCTCAGTAAAGTATCAGGGACTTGTAAGAGAAATAGGCATCCTGTATTTAATTTGGAAGAGCCGATGCATAACAATATGATAGGCGGTTTATTTCATCAGTTTTGACTTCTAAGCACTGGTGGATTATTGGTTTATTTCATCAGTTTTGACTTCTAAACACTGGTGGATTATTGAAAAACACTTTGAAATATTATATGTTATGAAAGTCTAGGTAATTTGGGGGGTGATTATGGTAGCAAGGTTCATTTCTCAGCAGTATGTTCTATATTTTAAATTAGTGGTCTTCTCTATGTTCTGTGTCATAATAAGAATGTTGTATTATTATTTTTGTTAAGATGTCTTTCTAAAACCATCTCCTGCCATGTCATGATTTTCTTCAACTGATCAAGCCATTAGTAAGTCTTCTAGTTTCCTTTAGATAACCGAGTCCTGTTCTAATTTGCATACCCTTAATATTTGGAGGATTATTGGTCACTGTTTATGTCAAGTGAAGATTATTGCTGGTCAATGCTTAAGTATTATGTCAGATAAAGATTATATTTTCTTATACCCTTGATATTTTGTTTTATATAAAATTGTTACTTTTTTTTTATATATATACAGTATATATAACTTGCGCTGTGGTGTTCATCGTTCTTTCTGAAGACGGAAGAGATGAAATACTGTACCAAAGGATTGGAAAGTTGCCGGTTGTGTTTATTTCATGTTTTAATGAAGACAAAACTACTTTGCTATCCTTTGTGACAGCAAGTTATTGTGCAGAGCTTGTTGTATTCTTGCATGTTCATACGACTCAACGTAACAAAGTTCAATTAGAAATCGATTGCTTAGTCATTGGTGATTTTTGCCCATATGATATTTGTTGTATTTAGTAGTTAATACATGTAGTCTCTGCTACAAAAACATTTGGTGAAAGTGGAGCGTACAGCAGTACTTTCCGGCTACCAAAGTATTGTACAGTAAAACTTATTACTAAAGATGAAACCGGTGGTTGATTTTGGTTATATTATTAGTGGTATGCTTGTATGCGTGAATCATTGTGTAAAACCAGTTTTGGTAGTGGAATTTGTTTTTCAAACAGAGAGCATACTACACAAAGTGCATATAATAAGATGGATCGGCAGGAAGGATTGGACGAAATATACAAACACTACTTACAATCCATTTATTTATTTTATAACGCGAAGCTCCAAATAATTTTGCGTGGTTTTGTAGCATGAGTTTGTTAGATGAGCATTGGTAAGATTCTTTTAGGAATTGCAAAAATGTGTGTATATAAAATATAAGCCAAGTGAGGCACATCAACAAAACAAATGCTGTATGGCAAGGGATATTTTGTCAAACTCTTTAGCAGATAGTTGCCACTGATCCCCAACCCAAACATTTCTGCTCAGTTTTAAAGCAATTTGTCCCTAATCCTAATATGGAGTAAATTTATTATTTCTTCAAGCAGATGTTCACCACTTCGTCACTTCTTATTTTTTTTAATACAATAATAGAACATTTTAATCCATTTATATACAGTATGTGTTGGTCACATGTATAACTTAATATGTCATACTTTTGAGTTATTCAAAAAAAGTTATCTGCATACACTTGCTCTCTGGCATGTACTCACTTGTTCACTGCTACGTGAGCACTTGCACATGAGCACTCGCTCACTGTCAAGTGAGCACATGTTCGCTGTCACATGAGCAGTCGCTCGCTGTCAAGTGAGCAGTCGCTCGCTGGCACGTGAGCAGTCGCTCGCTGGCACGTGAGCAGTCGCTCGCTGGCACATACACATTTGTTCACATCCCCATGCATACTTGTTCAGCAGGATCAGGCACATCATGTTGTAACATGTCAAAGTAGATGATACAAATACTATAGTCTACACAGCATATCCTAAGAAAATACATATTGATAAAATAGGAGGAGTTCAGAGACATGCTACTAAATGGCCTCCGAGCCCCGAAACAGAACCACGATGAGAGGCTGGGGGCATTAAATATGCCAAAGCTAATAAATAGAAGAAAACAAAATAAAGGCAAAATACTCGCCACATAAGAAATTATGACGGTAATGAACAACATAAGAAGGACTTTTGTTCTCAATGTTCTGGATTTTGAAGAGGTTAGTTTCACAGTGAGAAAATAAAGGTGCCAAAATGTGTACGTATTAATGGTCTGTTTTTCTCAGATTAATAAAATGAAACAAGAGAACAGAGTATGAGAAAATCCTTAGAAGCTTCAACACTTCAAAATTGCAAAGATTATAGAATGTAAATCAATTCAAGCATTGGTACGCTTTCTGTAACTACATTTTGCTGAATTACAGTACATTACACATTATTGTGAAGGTAAATTGATTTACAGTATGCATGTACAGAATGAATATTATGAATGTTCATTCACATACATAATCATTACCAAGTTAAGAGAGTATAGCCATTATAATGCTTGATGGAATATAATTGAACATCATTTGGTTCATTATGCTGTTTCTTTCTTGTGCTTCTTTGTTCACGGAATGTGTCGTTAATAAAGAGCTTTATGTGAGAGGAGCTGCATTTTATGGGTTAATTTATTTTATTAATTTGTTCACGGTAACTCTATCTGTTAGTGACAAAAATACTAATATGGTACAATTTTTTTTTTTTTTTTTTTTTTTTTTTTTAAGATGCTCCTGGAAAAAACATATTCAATTATAGTTTATGCTTCGTTGCAGAACTATTGAGCCCAAATAATTATTGTTAAAAAAGGTTATATGATTGTTGAAATCGCCTAAAATTGTTAACATTTTCTCGATTGTATTCAAAATGATTTATTGTCTAGCATCAGAAGAATACCAAAATTAATAAGTGAAGGGTGCTCACATAAAGGCACCATGATAGGTACTTTGTGATTAGCCAGCCACCTTAAAATGGATTTCAGTCAGGTCACTTCCCTCTTCATTTCTGCTAAATTGTTTGACGTTTATTGATTTGTACAAGTGCAAGATGTAGTGTTTAAAAAAGTCAGAATAAATGGTTGATGACAAACCTTGAAAGAAACTATCCCAAATTCCATGAATAAAAATGGAATGTACAGAAAAGGTAGTGTTGAGGCATGCTTTGCAGAACCTAATGTAGATTTTTGTCAATTTTTCAAGGCATTTTATTGCATTTTTGCAGGTACTGTATTGATATTTTAAACAGCTGTAACAGAAACTACCCAGTTGCCTTGCAAGCTTCCGGGATCATTTACCTCAAACATTCGGAACACTACCGAATGTGTTATTGTCGCGGTTCCGGTGCCTGGCCGAGAGCCAAAACAACCACTCCAGCACGCCTCCCACCTAACATAGTGTAAGCCAACTTCAGCACAGTTCCATTGACCAGACCACACACTAGAAGTTGAAGGGACGACGACGTTTCGGACCGTCCTGGACCATTCTCAAGTCGATTCAGGACGGTCCGAAACGTCAGAAATGGTCCAGGACGGACCGAAACGTCGTCTCTTCAACTTCTAGTGTGTGGTCTGGTCAACATACTTCAGCCACGTTATTGTGACTCATCGCCTGCACAATTCCATTGAGTTTCTTGTCGCAATGTCACCCCTTGTGTATCAAACTCGCATACTTTTCTTATCCAGCTTCAACAATCTTTCTTTGAACCTAATTCAGTTTTTATTTTACTGCATCCAAACACTTGTTCAGTCATTCTCTCGGCCTAAGTTTATACCATATGTTGTTATTAGTCCTTCATTAACAATGTCCTTCCTGTCTTGTGATCTTAAATGTTTGTCAAAATACTGTACATCTTTTACATAGACACACAGCTGTGTTTCTTAGATAAAAGTATATTTCATTAAAAAAAAGAAATGTTTTATCTTCCCAAAAACCATGACAGTTCTTGTGCTTACTGTATTTATTTTTTTGATATCTTGCCTAACATTTCTACAATGTTACCAAACATGCATTGCATTATTTTAACTTGTAAACATTGATTACTATATTTAGTCAGTTCATGATGTTTATTAATGCTCATCTTGCCTTATTTGCATATGTTTGAGTGTTCTACTTTCTCATAGTGCCTAAAATTGTTAGCCGCTCTTTATGAGATTCACTTTTAACGACTTAAGTGCTTAGGAAAATGAGATATTGGGGACACACAGAAATCACAATAGCGTGATATATCAAATGAATAAATCCACAAGGGCTCAGTCGATTAATGCGTGTCTGGGATCAGCCTGGATGTAAGTTCGAACCCTCATCACGGCCCTTGTGGATTTACTCATGAGATGTTGGGGATTTTGTAGATCCTTATACATAATAGTGAATTGAACAAAAAGATAAAAAAAAAATAGCAGAGCAGATTATGGAAGAGGTTGTAAATTTGTAAATACTTCTGGACAGTGTTGTGTAAGTAAAAGGAGTAATGAATGGGCTAATTGGTAGAAGTGGTTAGTATAATGAAAAGAATGAATGAGAAGGGCAGTATCAGCCATGAAGAAGATTGGAACCTGCACACACTTGGTTCTCTCAAGTATCAAGTGAATGAATGTTAGTATGGGAGTTTGGCTTGGTGCCTTCTTTTGATAATTACTTACTTAGTATGTAAGTTAATAGAGGACTGTGAAATAGTGTACTACTTCCAGCTCTGATATATAGAAGTGAAGGTTTGGTATGGAGTACCTCGAGAATACAAGCAGTGGAAATGTGTTTCTTGAGATTGCAGCTGGTTTAAGTATGTTGAATGAGCATAGCAATAAAAAAATATACACGAGATGTCGGACTTACCAAGGTCTCCCTAAGCCGACTGCCCAACCACTTGGGGTGGATGGTAGAGCAAAGAGAATTATCAGGAGAAAGTGCCAAGCCAGTAACGACTGTATAGCACTTGGAAGGGGTCAGGATAAGGATTTGGGATAAGATGGGGGGGGGGGGGGGAGGAAGAACCTAATGTAGATTTTTGTCAGTTATTTCAAGGCATTTTAGTGCATTTTTGCAGGTATTGATATTTTAAACAGCTGTAACAAACTACCCATTTTTCCTGCAAGCGTCGCATGAAGTGACGGTCTTACTTAATGCAGGTCGCCATTCAATCCCCGACCATCCGAGTGGTTGGGCACCATTTCTTTTCCCCGTCCCACCCCAAATCCTTATCGTGACCCCTTCCAAGTGCTATATAGTCATAATGGCTTGGCACTTCCCCCCCCCCCTGATAATTCCCTCCCTCCCTCCCTAAGCCAACTACTGACCTTCCAGAGGATGCATCGCAGAATAGCTCCCTAACTTGTGGGTTTGTATTTACTGCTGGTTGAACACAGGTATTGTACATAAGGAAACGGGCTTAGAACATCAGTGTGCTGTATGGGAATCGAACCAAAACCCCTTCAGCTATGAACTGACTGTGCTGACCATTTTGCTACAGGACCTCTTAGTGGGCTGCCTGAGAATTAGTTAAGTGGATTGATATGTTGTTACGTAAGGGGCAGATGCAGATGACTAGTGGCTTGGCGGGGAAGACTGGAACAGTATAAAAGAAGGGGATGGGGGGGTATGGCATTAGATCTATAGTTAGGTAACAAGTCCGCGAGACTTTTATTCGTTACTACATTAAACAGTAATGTCAGTATATTGTATCGCTGTCTTGCTCCAGTTTCAGCCTTCAACAGCGGTGCATTTTGCACCGCTGTTGCTTGATGTGATACATGTTCTTGTTTTTTTGTTTCACAGTACAATATACAGTAGAGTATTTAGCTTCCTTTATTGTTTGGCTTGATCTTCTTTTGCACTAATTCTCAGAACATTCCACTATCTTCTTTCATTTGATCTTGTTCCTTTTATGCACATGTGCACCTTTTTAAAATTTTCTCATTACATGTAACATTTCAGATAAAGTTTGGTCAGAGAACTACTGATTTTCTATATATCTGTGGCTATATGATTTTCCTGAACCTTTCTATTCCCCATTATTCTAGTGTATCACTGTTGTTAAACAGTACTTAATAAAATTTGACATGGTGTTTGAACATTTATACAGAATTTATAAGTATGCATGTGATAACAAAAAAGTTTTTTTTTGTAGTCTTGTCGTGTGTTGTGGGAGATGACATGAGGTAGGTGCATGTATGTATGTTCAGGTGTTCAGTGGCAGAATATTACTCTGTACTTACGTACTTAGTAATTTCTGACTAATATCTACAATTCGTGTCCCCCCCCCATGAAATGGGTGGAACAAGGGCTAATTGCCTGTTATCTCATGAACTGTATATCCTTAGCTTCCTTAATAAACCAGAGTGATATTAACCCAGAACTCTAAAAGTATTGAACATCAGAATTATCAAATACGGAACGCTGGTTAGTATTTGATGTTCTTCGTCATCACAGCTCAGAAAGTGCCTCATTGTGCAGCGGTATCTTAATCAGATTAACAAGATGTTCAAGATTACATTTAATCTAAGTATCATGGGTATAACTGCATTTCTGTATTTATAATTTCTTACAAATATGCACTCCAAAATGCATTTCTTGAATTAATATTTTTTTTAATTACAATGGATTTTGCTGCATAATTTTTGTAGAAAGTATAATTTGTACATATTATATTCCATACATGAAAACCTTAAAACCTTGGAATTTCTGTTCACACATTCACTGTGCAGTCTATTAACAGTGCAGTATTAAAATTGTTAGTATTTCTGGTATGCAGTACAGTATGTTCGTTAAAAAAGGTCAGTTTGTGATTATGTTGTACCTGAGAACCTGTACTGTTATGGCAGTCGTTCTTTTTAGTAAATTCAGTTGATTTTGCAGTTGCCCAGATGAGAGCCTTGAGAGAATAAAAATGATAAAAGAATATTTTGTTAAGTACAGTACTGTTTTTTTTCCAAAGGTTGGGAGCTCATTTCTTGTGTGTGATTGTGTTATTTATAAGTGGCATGTGCGATTTATTCCTGGTTCACACGAGTTAAATGAAAGTTGTTCCGAGTCCCTAATGCATACATCTTCCATTTCAAAACTGTTGTGCTCCATTGCTGCAAGATGAATAATTTTGTTTCGAGTAATGAGTTCTTGGAACCACACAGCCTGAGAAATTTGGCATTGTGGTTCAAAAAGATTGACCTTGAAGTTTAGTGGGGCCTAACATGATTGAAAATGTTATACCGTATTAATTTCATGACGATATAAATGGTATTTAGCAAACATATATTGCCTCCTTTATATCCATCTTGGTTAATCATTTTCATGGGTAACTTTCACTTAGTAAAAGTGGTAGAGTTTTACAATACAGTAATTTTCAAACTTGAAGTGATAGAGCTGGTGCTAAAATGAAGTTAGAGACTGAGGATATAATGGGAATCTTATCACCTACAAAAGGCATAATTAGGCCTCTATTCATTTTCTTTTATGTTTCAAAGTATTAAAGATATCCTTACTTCAAATGAGGGATATGACGTTATTTTCTGAGCCAATTGATTACATCAAGAGGATCTGCAGGAGCTATTTGATAAATCTTGGGAATATTAGTCTTTGAATTTGTTTTTTCCTCTCTGTATGAGCCCTTTGGTACTCGAGTCAAATAGCAAAATGGCCCATTTTCTGTGGGCTGACCTTTGATGACCTAGACTATGAACATGAGATGTTAAGCCTGCCTTCATGATGCTTTGTTGATGATCTTGATGGTAGTGGCTGGAAAAAACCTAAAACATCATACAGGCTATATGTTTGCCTTGAGAGTAGTGGGGTCATCCTAGATATTTACGCGAGTTATGTTGTGTTATGTTTTGTCACACTGTGTTATGTTGTGTTACACTGTGCTATGTTTTGTCACACTGTTATATTGTGTAGTATGTGCCACATCCCGCCACCTTCAATTAAAGTTGGAAATGGTGTAAAGAGAAAGGTGATTGACGTTTGACACAAATTTTTATTGCTTTCTTACTGAAGCTGTAATTTAGGTAATGTATTCAAGAATGTTGTAATGTTACCATAATCCAATTAAGCTGAATGTCATTGTTTTCTGAAATAAAGATTGTGAGATTTCAGCTAACTCATCATTAATTGAGCTTCTAATTGAGTGTTCTACAATGTAAATTAAAAGATTGTTTAAGTCGGGTAAAATTTTTATACCTGTCAAATTTTACTTCTGTATTTCTGTTATTATAAGTCAAATTAGCAAATCATTTATAATATAAATGACTGGATTTTTGTCATTTCCCTAATGTGGATAAAACTGCTGTTAATACAGTAATGTCAGTAAAATCTTTTATGTCAACAAGGTTGAGCAGCTTGTAAAGTAGCCAAAAATATGCTTTGGTTAAAGTTTCTGTGTAGTGCCTGATATTGAATTTCTTTTGAATACTGTAATATGTGATAGGATGGAATTCTGATTTTCGATCTTCGTGGGGTTTCTATGATCAATATAAATCCTCCCCAGGTGTTTTCTCTTCATGTTAACTGGTGGTAAGCTTTAAATTTATAGCTGTTCTCAAATAGAGAAGCAGTCGACCTAGTATCGATATAGTGTATTTTTCAAAATAAGAAATCGTCTTGTATAAATATTTTCATTAATTTTTTTTACCTGGACTAACTGTTTTACCGAGTTAGCCCTCAGTAGCTCCCTAGTACGTTGGCTCTGGTACCAGAAGATAATTTCTCACTTGATGTTATCATCTTCGTCCATTTCCGAGACTCCACCTCTTCGAGATGATCTGTGGCCAGTCTTACTGGAATGGGTCAGTCCACCTATCTTCACATTTGGAGTTTTTGAGTTATTTATTCTGCCACTTTTATGGGGACCAGGTGGCAGCTCTTTCATTGTCTGTGTTGCATATGCATCTGTGTGGTGGCTTTACTGCCCTTCTGGCTTTTCATTTTTCTTCCCCAGTTCTCGCTCATTATTATGTGAGTGGTCATGTCCTTTCTCTCCTGGATCAAGTTTTTTTTTTGTCCACACCTGTTTCTTTTGTCCCCATTGACTGGGAAGATCTTTTTCAAGATGACTTTCTTGTTGGCTATGGCTTCTGATAGTTGGGTGTGAAAACCTCATGCATTTTGCCGTAAGATGGGGCTATACTTCCTGTCAACCATAGGGACAGCTCTTGCCATCTCCAACCTTCTTTGTACTTTTTGACCAACTTTGACAATGTGTCCTCTGCTTTTCATTGGGGTCTTCTGATAGTGGACACTTAAGTTGTCCACCCCAAGGGTGCAGTGTGACCTCTACTGCTAGTGTCTGTGCAATGTTATTTACTTGCTTCTCCCGCTTCCCAGGCTTTAGTGATCTCTTATCAATCCCACTTCCTTGGTGCCTTCTTCCCAGGCTTTCTCAGGTTGTGTACAATGGCTTAGTTGAGCCAGCCTGATGTGTACTGTGTACACATGATGTGTGCAAGTATGCCACGATTACTGCCTTTTTGCTAACAAGTTTACGGCTGATATTTGAGCTCAGGGTTTCTAGCACATTTAACCATGTGTTGGCTACTTGTTACCTGTTTGATGTTCCCTGTCTTCACCGAGTCAGTGTGGCTCTTTGGGTCCTTTCCCGTCACCGAGTTCCTCTTTTCCCTAGCCCTGGGTTTTCAGGTTTCTTTTCCCAAGGGTTGGTTTCTCTATATTTGTTTCCTTAAAAGGGTTTCAGCCCAAAGATGGTTTCCTCTCCAGGGCATATTGGGAGAATGCACCAGGCAGCTACTGAGTGCCAGCCAAGAAAGGAAGCATTGAATATATTTTATTGTAATTCACTTTCCTGGGTAGTTTCAGTAGTGTACCCAACTTTGGAGATGAGGTTCATCTTGGGGGTGGCATGTGAGTGAGGTAGCGGGTAAGCTGGACCCCTGGGTCACCTGAGCTGCCTCCTGGGGCTATACAGTGGAACCTCGAGTGACGAGCGGCTCCAGTTACGAGCATTTCGAGTAACGAGCAAGCCACTCGCAGAAATTGTCTCTCGACTGACGAGCTTTCGCTCGATTAACGAGCGTTCCCGCTGGTTCTCGGACACCACCGACAAGAGTTTTGTTGTTGTTTTGCAAGACGAGTTTTCCCCATGACGAGCTCGGTGCCGGAACGGATTAAACTCGTTACTCGAGGCGCCACTGTTCTTTGGCACTAATGCATAGTTTGTTGACATTGAACAAACTGTACCACTACTCTCATTTCCATCTTTTCTATCTTTATTCAAGGTACGTAGTTTTGCCTTTTGTACCGGTGCCTTCTGGGCAGTTTTACTCAGTACTGTACCTGTATAGGATAGCTTTTGAACCCCATGCTCTCCTCTCTCTGTGAGGACTTCCGATTTTGGTCCTGGTGTTCACAAATCCAGAGATCTGTTAATTTTGAGGATATTTGTGTTACCAGAGCCAATGCACAGAGAATTCTGAGGGTGTCCAGAAAAGAGCTTTTCGTTATATAAAACACTTGATTTTAAAGTTTTCCATCTCTGTAGTTTTTAATTTATCCTTCTTTTAATATAAGCCTAGTACTGTAAATAATTTTTTAGCATTAGCTTATTAATGGATATGCTCATTGCTATTCTTCACTTTACTAGTTCCAGGTATAATGTACGGATATTTACTCAAGTTTTTAAATTTAAATCTAGGTTTGGGATGGGCTTGTTTGCATTGACATAGCATAATTAATCATGAAACTACAAAAGAGGTCATAATTAATACAAAAATTGACATTAGAATAATTTGGCTTTGTAGAATTTGTGATAAATTTTGTGTGTTAGAATTGTAAGAGACGTTGAGTTTATCATTAAATGGTGTATCGTCAGATAACCTCAGTCACTGTAATGAGAACATGTTAAGAGTTTTGCCTGCCATCACTGATAGACAAGCTCCTTAGAGTTGAATTGCAGTTTCTTGCTTTTACTCCCCAGGCAAATCTGGCCAAATGACATTGATGATGACCATACCACACACCAGAGGAGGAAGAGGGAGGGAGGGAAGGGAGTTATCAAGGGGAAAGCACCAAGCCATTATGACTATATAGCACTTGGAAGGGGTCAGGATAAGGGTTGGGGATGGGGGGAAGGGAATGGTACCCAACCTCTTGGACGGTCGGGGATTGAACACCGACCTGCATGAAGCGAGACCGTCGCTCTACCGTCCAGCCCAAGTGGTGAACCCAGAGAAGGAAGAATCAACGTTTCAGTCCGTCCTAGACCATTATCAAGTCAATCACAATCGACTTGATAATGGTCCAGGACGGGCTGAAATGCCATCGTTTCCTCTGGAGTGTGGTTTGGTCATCATATTTTCAGCCATGTTACTGTGACTCATCATCTGCAAACGACATTGATGTAACAATTAACGTTAACTAAATGTTGCTCGAGCATACACTGCCTGCCAAGTTCTTATGTTGCTAGAACAGGCTTTCATATTCCCCTTAAAAATCTTGAGTATTAAAATAATGTCAAATTGACTTTAAAATATTATTGCTTCAAAATTGATTTGTGCCTCTGTTTTTGAGTATATTATTTTTCTAGTTTAATTCTATCTTGGGTTTTACATGGGTTTGCTAAAAATTTACTCCTGTACAGTACAGTATTAAGAATTAGTATGGCACAAATTTAAAATGTTAATTTTAATAATCATCATTTGTTAATTTATCAGTTATATGTTGTGGTTATGTTAATTTAATACTTATGCTATAGTTTTTCTTACCCAGTGGACAGTGAAAGCTTTATTTTGTAGAAAATTTGCCTGGCACTTAGGAATATATATCTAAATGGTTTCAAATGATTTGCGTGTTGCTTCATTGTCTTACGTTATCATGTAATTCAGAGTTTAAACTAACATAGTAATTTTGGTTCCTACTAATTCAGTTATGCCGTTCTTTACAGAATTTATATTGGTTACTTGAAAAATAAGTAACCTAACACTTTGGCGTGATGACGTTCAGGCAGTCATTAAAACAATACACGCAGTTCGGGTGATGACGTTAACGACGTCATCAATTAATTTTTGGCTTATTCTTATTAGTAAGTACAATATAAACATTGTGAGTGAAAGAGTTTAACATTGGGTTGTGGGCTCATGGGGCAACATCTGGCCTACCTTGCGGTGCGCTGCTGGGCACTCGTCGGGCAAGGCAAAATAATTAAAAAGAGTCAGTGTTATTGAATTAAAACATATAAATAAAAGATTACATATTAATTGATTTAAAGAAATGCAGGATAATTTATATTTAGATGATAGGGGTTGCAGAAAGGTCCTCTCTCCCTCTCTCTCTCATCTTCATTTTTTTTATTAGAGACATTAATATATCTTGGACTCAGAGCCAGTGCAACTCGACTCTTTATCTCCGGATCAACTAGTTAACGGTTGCATTAGAGTTGGCTAAGAATGCTGTCTTGGTTTCAGCTAGCTCCCAGGACCCTGAAATTCAGATGAGTTTCAAAACTAAAGTACATAAACAAAACTACTTAGTACTGTACTGACTAAACTGCTTATACTCTCTCTATCTCTCTCTCTTAACATTTTTGTTCTCAACTTTAGTTAGGTAGTGAGACGAGATGTGGCACATTGCTGGAGAATGATTTAAACCTGTATGACAAATCTTACATGTACCCAATGAAGGTTGTGATATATAAAACATCTCCTTGGTCTTAAGACGTTTACTAACTGTACTTGAGAGTTTTCCTCTATTACTGTATGTGACTAGTGCAAAGATTTGGCTATACTGTCAGCAATAAATGCATATCATTTATGATCAGAGCCTTCAGTGATGTTTCTTTGCTCATCTTAATGCAGTTTCTAATTCCATTATATGATTTTTTCTCTCCGTTGATATTATGTAGTCTTATTTCAAGTCAAAGGTATACACATTATATGTATCCATACATCTGTGGTAACAGTTTTTTCTGGCTGTTCATAGGAAATGTTGACTTGTGCAGCTATATATCAGTTATGTATAGAATCTAAATGTATTATAAGTTACTGCAGTACACTCTGGCAAGTGTCTTGTTAGTGTATGTACAGGTACTGTACACCCTGCCGAAGTGTTTAGTCGAGGTGGTCTGTAGATACAATACAATCTAGCAGGTGTTTTGCTACAATGACCATATATTGTATACAAATAAATATATATATATATATAAATAAATATATATATATATATATATATAAATACAGTATATATATAAACTTTTAAATATGCTGCACACCATGTCGAGAGTTCTGTGGGGGAGATCTGCAGCCATTTTGTGAAAATGCAGATAGATGCTTCCTCAGCCACCACAGGCAGCATGCATTCATCATCCCCCAATGTAATCAAATGTCATTTACCAAGTAAGTAATGCACTGTCATTAAGTCACCAGATAGCCCAAAGAATATTCTAATTACTTGGTAACACGGCATGCTTGGGAATTTGTGACATGTATACTTGCAGGAAATGGAAAACGTAACTGCATTGGCCTATAGATCCGAGTCGGTTAAATAACGGATTTTTCATGTGGTGGTTGATGATATAACATGCTGTACTTTAAGTATCTCTCGGAGTGTCACAAGATATGAATTTCAGGAGGCTGGAATGTTGTATTTTTTATGCTGCTTTGGAATATTCTGTGAATATTTGAGAAGCTGTAGAAGCCTACCAGAGCCAATGTTATTTGTTTTGAACATTAAAACTGAAATCTTAATCAGTTGTTATTGATTACTGACCCCCCCATATGCATGTCTTAAGGTGTTGAAAGGATGTGTGTTTTTTGTTACCATTTACAGCAAGGTGGGAATAACTTTAAAATAACAGTGAAGCATCGCTTTAAATCTTAATGGTAAAAGAACATTAATAACCAGATTTTGATTGCTTCTACTTTACAAATAATACTCATAAAATGTACTGTACAGTAACAGAAGTGAAAGTACTCGGTGTGTGACATAAGTTAACCCATTTACAGTACTTGGTAAGATTGAGCTTAATAATGAGATCAACAAGAATTTTTAAATTTGATATATTTTAAATGTACCTGTATCAGTATAAATGTTTTCAAGAGGTATTAGGTACAGTACTTGCTATTTTACACTATTATATTTCATCTTGGTTAATGATTCCTTTACAAGAAAATATTCATGTTAACATGTCTAATGCAAGGCAGCATGCTAAAGAAATGTGCAAAGTTATGACATGGCCACAAAGTATTAATGTGGGAGGGGAAGACTTAAAGTATTACTGAAAAAAAGTAAGAGGATTAAAAATATGTAAAAAAAAGTACAGTATATATAATATTGAAATTTTACAAAATTAATTTTCCAAATGAGAGATTTTTAAGTGGTTTGCTAGATGAACAGATCGAGGAAGTATGAGCAAAGCATTGTAGAGATTAGTGGTGGTGGTGGCATTTGTATATACATTGTACAGTATATAACTAGTGAAAGATGAACAAATAAAGCACAGCTTGTATTGAATATGCAAGAAGACTATGGGTAAAGATGACCCTACTGTGGCTAATAAAGACTACTGTGAATTTATTATTAATCCATATATACCATACTGTACTGCACATTTACAATTTTGAAGTGTGATTTCCAGGAGATTAGAAAAGTACGAGTGTAATGAAGTTCATTTTGTTACAAATGTTTGATATCAAACTCCATAAAGGATTTTTATGATACACCTTCCCCATTGCAAGTACATTCACTGTATATTGTGAATGAAACAAGAAAATCAAATGAACCATATAACGAGTGTTTAAATAAGAGAAGCCAATTTTGGTTTATAGCAGAAAATTAAATTACACCAGTTCAGGATTAAATGGTGGGAGGATGGGGGTCATATTAAAAGGGCTCCTAGACCATCTACTGATCTTTACACAAAATATTTACTTTATTTTTGTCAATATCACTATTACAGTCTTTTTCTCACATCAATACATTCTTTTTATACTCCTTTAAAACAACAATCATTTGTGTACATCAAGCTTGATACAGTATAATCCAATCACTCAAATTAGGCTCATGTACTATAGGTTTACACATCTTAACATTCGTTTTTTGACCTGCCTCGCAACTCCAATCCATGAATCTACTGCATTGTATAATCAACGTGACCTCGCGTGACCCTAATGTTTTCCGGATGTTGATCCAGAAAATGTCTTCAAAAGGTCAGATGTAACACAAACAAGGAGCAACAGTTCCAAGCTCCACAAGCCACAATGTAGGAATGAGAACAGGAGATGCTTTTTCACCCACAGGGTTATTAACCCTTGGAACCGCCTACCCGCTGAAGCTGTAAATGCCAAAAAAACTTAACTTTTAAAGTACAGCTGGAAAAGATCATCAAAGCAAATAGGGGGACCTTTGACAAGTCGCCGGCTTTCTGTCCTCATCGAGGCCACTAGTGTTAGTGGCTCTCAGGTAAACTAATGCACACCATAATTAAGATCAAACCAGCCATCCGAATGTAGTTCAACACTCAGGTTAAAACTCTGGAAACCCAGGTAAACTCAGGTAAAAAAAAGTCGGGACTAGTGGAGGGACCCATAACAAGCCTCTGGCTTCTTGTCCCAGTTGAGGACATCTAAGATGGTGGCTCAGGAAAATATGTGTCTTCAGTTCGACATCTTTAAGTAAAAATACACAATACTGTATTCACCTAGTTGTGCTGCGGGGGTTGAGCTCTGCTCTTTCGGCCCGCCTCTCAACTGTTAATCAACTGTTTCTAACTACTACTACTACTATATATCACTGTATATATGTGATTATCAGGCCTACACGGGCATCTGCCTAGTCTATCCATATTGCTACAATTGTATAACTGGCTGAGTTTGTACGACCGTGTCATTCCTTTTTAACAAGCTTAGGTTATACACAGCAATGTGCTGCTACCCTATTCATATGAAAGATTACAGAGTGTAGATCAAAATCTAACTATAAGTTCATCTAATATCCCCAACTCACAGGATGGTTAGTAATACATGGAATCAGGAGAGAACATGAAATGCGAGGCTGATCTTGTAACGTACGATTATGTTACGTTCTTGAGTAACCGCAGATTATTCATCTTTATAAATTTATCTACTTTAACTGTATTTGCTGCATCTATTCACCTATGTTATAGTATTTGCCATATGCTTTTATTCATAGCTGTTAAACATGCTTTATTGTGTTACTGCAGAATAGTCATCTGTATAAATCTACCTACATTAATAAATAAGTCCCCCCATACTAAGACTGCGGTTTTCTCCCCGGGCAGAAAATAAAAGAAAATCCGCTGACGAATCTTCTAGTGTGTGATGAGACTTGTATTTGACATAATTAAAATATTAACTTAAATAATTCGTTTGTTAGACAATATATGATATTCAGATCTATAAATTACTTTAGAAAGGCTTATAATGCATATATGAATATTAATTTACACACGCCTGGCGCTATACGCCAGGAATTTCAATATGGCGTTCAAATAATTTTAGGCAGGGGGTCTCTGGGTCGGTTGGTCGTTTGCGGGTCATCGACTGCGACCCGGTCAGTCGTCAGGCAGCAGCGGTGGCGTGAACTACTTCGTTCCCGTGTAGGTAAAACCGGGACAATTACGGTGTTTGTATGGAAGCATGATATCTCGGTTACCAAGAGGCAACAGTTTACATGTATATTGCGACGGGTCGGTGGCGGAGGATGGCAGGGCAGGGTGTGGTGTCCTAATAAGGGATTATACGGAGTTTGGGACTGTGGACAGGATAATTGAACTCCGGCTTAGTAATTATATATCATCCACACAAGCTGAACTGCAGGCCATTCTGGCGTGTTTGGAGGAAGTACGTCATGACGACAAAAATGTTTTTGTATTTGTCGATAGCCGAGGAGCACTGGAGTCCTTAAACAGTCGAAACCCAGTCTTCATGTCTATAGTGGAGGACTGTAAGAGAAGAATAACTGAGATACAGCTGAAAGGTTATAGTGTGAAATTCATGTGGATTCCATCTCACGTTGGAATAGTGCTCAACGAGGTGGCGGATGACTTGGCCAAACGTGCCACATCAAAACCACAAGTTGACATTGAATGTGAATTCACAATGAGACAAATAAGAAGCAAAATCAGAAATATTCAGGCACAGGCGGGAGTGGAGAGGAGAGAGATAATGTATGAGAGTAGTCAAACCATGCAACACTACATGTATGTGAGTCAAAACACCCATTTCACTTATGGTAAAAGGAGAAATGCTTGGAGTGACTCTGTGTACATGCGGCTCAGGCTTGGGTACAAATATTACTGGGAATATGGGATAGATGTTCATGGTAATGACACGAAGTGTAAACTATGTGGTATGTTAAGGTCTCACACCCTTGCCCATTATATTCTTGATTGTCCGTTGATTAGTGTATATAGAAACACTGAGATAAGGACTGTTCCTGAACAAATAGCCTGGATGTGTCACAACGGAAAGGTTGATGATATTCTTGAGAGATATAAGAATTTTGCACCAAGATTGTAATATTTTGTTGAATTATCTGCAGGTGTCTTGCAATTTGTCTATACAGTATACCTAGGTCATAAAAGTATTTGTGTGTACGTCTGATAACATACTACTTGTGAAGGAGGAAATGTATATTTTTACCTCTCAAAATGTTTGGTAATGTGT